ATATTTRAAAGTTGTWYYTCAARCTCCTCATATACAAAATAATCAAACTATGGACATTTTGATCTTAGATTTTGAGTCTATATCTACTGAATTCTTTTTATATCATCATATCAGTCATTTGATTTATGCCTTCTTCTTTTACTTGACTTTTTTAAAATTAAGAAACGCACTTTCTGTATTTTCTTTCTTTTTTTCTGTATTGGTTCTGTTTGCACTTCTGTTCATAATTTAATTTCAGACTTTGGAAGCGTATGAATAAAGCCTGTTCTGCCCGTTTTCAATTAAACATCGACAGATATATATTTTAACTTAAAACATTATTTTACAACAATTTAATTTAAAGGAAACGAATTGATTGAACATTTCACCTCTAATTTGCGGTTTTTATAAAATCATTTTTTAGTTCGCCGTTTTATCCCTGTGATACTGTGAATAGGAACATTTTAGTAGAAATACAAAACAATTGTACAAAAAAATATTTTTGATTTATGAACTTTTTGTAACTTGACAAGCAAATGATAATTTAATCTTTCGTATTTGAATTAATCTAGAAATTATTATTGAATTATTTAATTATTAACCTAGAAACTAAATGAAAACTGCTTAGTATCAGAAGTTCTATTAAGCTTAGGTAGTCAGTTGGGTTTTTCGAAATAATTCAATAGATCATTAAGTGTATGATGTTTATGTATTTTAAAAAAATTATGATCAAGTGATTCTCATTGGGTCTTACAATTATCAGTAACTTTTCAAATTTACTGAAAAAAATACAACATGCTGAAAAAAAAAATTACAGTAAGTGCTTTATAGATATCTATAAGTCGTTTCTTCGCTTCCAATTAAATTTTATTATTATTTTTCCACGTAATTAACTGCACATTTTACTGAAATATATGAAATAAACACAAATTCTCTCATGAAACCAGAAAAATTAAATTAATACTGCTATAATAACAGCTCAACAATTACTTTCGAAGTTGGAGTTCAGCGGAAGTTAATACAAATTTTGTCAATACGTGGCCCGCTTTTATACACTCACAATTCCGACCCCAAAATGACACTAGCGAAATTCTGTAATTAAAATTTTTCATTAATTAAATCTGATTGCCACCCCTGGTTTCCATTAAGGCGACAGCCGCCTCCTTCGAAAGATAATTAGAAAAGGCGATTGTTCGTAGAGAAAGGAGCGCCATTTCATTGTCAATTTCTTTCCAAATTCCACCAGCTGGTTTATGACGTTTTACCCTTTAGAACAGTGGTGTTGGATTGGGGATGCGATGTAAGCGAAGAATAATTTCTAGATTATTCATTTAACCGTTAGAGAATCAAGCATAAGTATGCGAAGAAATCTTGTATGGATTGTAAATGTCTTGTCCATCAATTCAAACCTTTTGCAACCTTTTTAAATCAGTACCTTTTTAAGTCAATAAAAAGCACGGCATTTTATATAAAAAAAGTAAGTTTTGTCTATCACTGCAATTTCAGACACCCTGTATTCATTGGTACCGTCTTATGCTATGGCTTCAGCTTGAAGTTATCGGCGTTCAAAAAAATATGTCCTGGATATCGTATTTTTGCTTAAGTTTTGCCACATTTGGCCCTTAAAGGTAAAACCCTCCATGTATACGTAAAAACAGTATCTGGTAGTTGAAGAAATCGGTTTCTCTGACACTGTAGCAAAAAAAAGTAAGTTTAAATGGCAAAACTCCTCAAGCCAAAATCGAAATCGTCTATTTACAAAGAAACGTTTTTTTTTGTTTTCACTTTAACCGGTTAGTAAATAGCAATTTTCTCCGTTTCTTCAGGAAAACATTCCGTAGACCTGAGAAAATTCTAGCAGTAACTGTTCAATTAGTTTTAATTGCATTTAATGATTTTTCTGGAAAACTTAACGTTCACTATCATTAACTGATTTCTTCCAAGTTCTCTGCCGCACATCCTCTAAGCCCATTGTGAATTATTTTCTCTGAGTGCATCTGTTTTTGCGCTTTTAAATTGATCGCCAGCTGCGTTATATTTAAATTACATAAGCAAAATAGACATTATAAATAAAGAATAAGTGCGACTAATGATCGCCACAAAGCTAACGATCAAGACAAAACGAAAAGTTAAAATACAAAAGCTATAAATATTCTCATTTGTTCTTATTTTTAAGATTTCAGGTAATTATATAGCATTAGTCAGCAAAGATACACAAGACCAAATAAACGACCACCCTCGAATAGTTAAAGTTAAAGCCTCGAGTAGCGCTAATTAAAGTCGGTCTTAAATCAAGTCGGATTGGACGGTGTCCACCTGAAAGATACTCGCTCTTTAATTATCAATAAAAGTGCTTTAATAACCGGCTGCAGTATTAAAGATCGCAAATATGACGTGTAATGACCGCGTTTACGACGCATTAATTCTCGGATCATGTTGCGGACTCCGCTATGGACTGCCGGCCCTCTATTCTCATAAAAAATACCCTCGGAACCTGGTCGTATTCAAAGAACCCATATTGGCTGTCTTCGCTAGCTAACTATCACTTCAGGCAATTTCTGATGAGAATAAAGTACATTTCCTAATCAGTTCTCGATCTGCTGTAGAAAATGTGAATTTATGCTAATGTTCAGAATGTGCCCGATGGCTTTACACAACATTTACAACTAACCCACATCAACTTTACACTAACACTCACCAGGTCACATCTCATGGTGCCAGGGATTTGCCTCACAGCGCCCCTTCCGAGAGCCTCTCTCTTCCGTTGGGCGCTGAACAACCTCAACTCTTTCCGCTCTTCGTCGCTGAGAGCGTGGCAGTAGCGCACTTCGTTGTCATGAGGAGGCAATTGCTGCAGCAGCTGACGCACCCTGTATCTTTCTCCCACACTGTTCACATAGGGAACTTTGTCTTCAGGTAGAGCGCTGAAGTAGAGGTGGACCTGGAACAGAAGTACCAATTGAGTAAGAGAAGTATTAAAGAGTTAAAATTACATTTTTACGTTACTTTAGGTAGGCAAATAACTATAATGAATGGCAACATCAATCAAATGTATC